TATCTAATATATATATTTGATAATATTAATTAATAATATAATCAGATAGTATGTATATAGTATATTTAGATATTATTTACTTGATAATATATATATAATATATTCTGATTGCATTAATTTTTTTATTAAAAATTCTATATATTATAAAAAATAATAATAATATAAGATCACAAAAGTATACTAACTCAAGCTATTAATAAAATTTTAATACAAAAAATTAAGAAAGTAAATTGTAATATTTAAATTACTTATATTACTCAAGCTATTAATAAACTTTTAATACAAAAAATTGATAAGAGTTTCAAAACTTATATAGAAAATCTAAAGCAAAATTATGATTCTAAGTCTAAAGATGAATTAAAGAATATTATATCTATTTGTAAATTTGTAATTAAGAATCTTATTACTATTAATAATATATAAATTATAAGATATAATCTTACTTTTTTTGTTTATGACAGAAATTAATTATAATTACTAAACTAGTAGTATAATTTATCTTAGCTATTTTATTATAATAAAAATTAATTAGAAATGATAAATTAGTATATAATATCAAATAATATATAAATTATATTCTAATTATCAAATTAGTATATAAGTAATATTATCAAATTTAAATTATAATAAAAATTATAAAAAAAATAGACTAGGATATTATAATCTGATTCAAATATTAAAAATTATATAAGTAACTAAGAAATTATTAATATTAAATTTAACTTTTTAAAGGATATATAATATGACTTGAGTTTTGCAATTTATTATTACATTTAAAAATATATAATTAGTTAAGTAACTTGAATTTTATAATCTATTTATTACTTAAATAACTTGAGTTTTATGATTGATTCATCACTTAAATAACTTGAGTTTTATAATCAATTTGTTATATACAGTATAATCTAAACTAAATGAAAATAATATAATTATATTATTTCTATTATTTTGATATAAGAATTCTTTCTAATAATTTTTTATATTAGTAATCTTTATTTTTAATTTAAAATAATAATTTTTTATAAAGTAATCAGATTTTTTATAATTATAATATATATTCTTAGTCTTATTATTCTTTTGCTAATTATTATTCTTTCTGTTATAATAGTTTTCTACTTAATTAAATTCTATTAGTATTAAATCATTACTCTAATAACTTCTATTTTACTATAAATAATAATTATTATTATTATATTTACTTAGTAGATTTAATAATTTACTCTAATTATATATAGTAATATTATAATATATGACTAACTTTCAAGTTTCTTCTAATATTTTTGATATCTAATAACTAATTTTTATTTTTATAATAGAGTTTAGATCTTTTATAAAGTATATTACTTGATTTAAATTACTTATATCTATAACTTAACCAATTATATTTCTGAATTTTATATTATAATCTTGTATAAATCCAGTTTGATAAAGAAGATATAATTATTTATAAAGATATTATTAATAATATAATAATTGAAAGACTTTTTTAAATATTATAATAAATATATTTTATATTTTAAATAATATAATATTATTATTAGTTTTGTATTTATTCAAATATTAATATAGTATTTCTTTAGTTAAGAAGATAATAATATATTATATTTATATCAGCTTATCTATAATTTTTTGAGTTAAGAAAATTATTTTATCTAAATAAGTATATTTTTATTAGATTTTTTTAAATATATAAATAGTTGAATTAATAAGTAAGATAAAAATTTTAAATTAGAGAATTATCTTTTTTTATTATTTTAATAAATTTAATTATACTTTATATAAATTAATCAAATTATTTTTTATTTATTTTAATTATATTTTTAAATATTAAAACTAAGATATATATATAATATAAGTATATATATAATATATAGTATGATATAAGATATTAAAAAATAATATTTGTAATAATTATATCTATTATTATTAAGTTATAAGATTATTATATTAATAAGATAAAATAAGATATGAATAGTTTTAATTTATAAACTTATAATTTTATTATTTGAATAATATTCAGATCCAAAGTTATTTTATAAAATAAAAAAGATATATTTATAAGAAAATGAAATAAATATGAAAGTAAGTAAATTAATAATTATCTATAAATAAAATATATATGAGTTAAATAAAATTAATTAACTTAATTCATATTTCTAAAAGATAACTAATTATAATTATAAATAATATAAATAATAATAAAAAAAAATAATTAAAATTATAAAAAAATAATAATTAAAAATATAATTAAAAATATTAATAATTTAAATTAATAATAAGAATATACATAATAATTATTTGTGTAATAATATATTAAATTTAATTAATTAAATATATATATAATTATTTATATATCTAATATAAAAATAATCTTTAAAGAAAAATAATACAGAAGTTAATCTGTTATACAGATAACATAAAATAAAAATCTGAAATTAAAGAAAATGATTCAATCAAAATTATTACATTCTATATATAAAATTTTTCTTTATATTAAAATTTATAATTTTATTATACAGTATTTAATTATTTATTTAATTTAAAATAAAATTAATAGTTTTTAATTTAATTTTTTTTAAATTTTTAATTAGAAAAATATTTGTAAAAAAATTAAAAAAATCCAAAATTTATAAAATATAAACTTTATTTTTAATATTATATAAAATTATAAATTTTTAATATAAAAATAATTTTAATTTTTTCTTTATTTTATTCTTATTTATTATTATAAGTATTATTTTATATAATTTCTTTATATTTTTTAATTTATTATTAAAGATTAAACAAGAAAATAAATTAAAAATTTTTAAATTATTTATAATTAATAAATTATATAATTATATTATTTTTGTAAAAATTATTAATGAGTAATTATTAATAAATTTCAAAGTTTTATATTAATATACAAATTATTTAAATTTGAATTTTATTTTTTAATAAATAATAAAATTATTATTAGATATATTAAATAAAAATTAATTACAAAGAAATATTTTTTATTATAATTAAAATATTTTTAAATATTATATTAATAAAATTTTATTATATAATATATAAAGTTTTAATTTCAAATAAATAAGATTTTATTTAAATAAAATAAATTTATTAAAAAATTTATTATAAATTAATAAATTTCAAATTGGCAATTTTTAAATATAATAGAAATAGAAATAGAAATCTAATTTTTCTACTATCTTTTTATAAAAATTAATATAATAGTAATCTGATATATTTATTATAATAATATTCTGAATCTTGTTTGTTAGATTATAATTATTTAAAATTTATATAAAATGATTTCAGAAATTCTTTAATAAATTAAAAATAGTTAATAATAATATTGTTTTAATAACTCAATTTTTGCTAAATAAATTTTAATAAGCTTGATTTTTTGTTTTTCGATATATATTTTAATTTATTAAGATTAACTATATATAAAATTATAGACTGAAAATATATATTATAAAAAGAATTGAGTTAGAAAGAATATTTATTATGTCTTTAAGCATTTTATTATTTCTAAATAAAAATATATTATATTCATAAATCGATTGTCTAAGTAAAAAATATAATATTTATTTGAAAATATATCTATTGCTTATAAAATATCGATATAAGTATGCATTTTACAATGAATTATTGATTATAATTAGTAGTTATACTATTACTAAAAGATTTGAATTAAATTGAACATATAGAAGTTGAGAAAATTCAATTCTGCTAAACTAATTTTTCAACTTGTAATAATTAATTACTGGTAAAAGACAGCTACATTTCTACGATTTCCTTTAGCTAAAATATTTCATCGTCTATTGGAAATAAACAAACTAACAGAAAAAAACGGTCTCTTGTTCAAATCATATAATTGAAATATATATTAATAAAGCTTGATAAACCAAAAATTCAAAGATTTTGAGCTAACTTCAAATTAGGCATAATATTTAATGAAAAATTCTATTAATGTTATCAAAAAAATTAGATTTTTGGACACGCTTTTAACAGAAAAAATGGCATGTACATGTGTCAAGAAAGGATGTTGGGAATAGTATACTATACATAGTAATAAAAATAAGTCATAATTAAACTGTAATAAGATTTTGATATCTCGTGTATGAACTGATAATATTAACAGTTGTTTACCAGTTAAAGCGGTTATCACCAGACAGATTTTTTATTTTCTAAGTCCTTTATCAGGTTTGTTTAAATGGGCGTCGATCGTGATTTCTAATTGGATGACTTAATAAGGGTTGTAATTAAAGTTTAAGGATGATACATACATGTACAGTATACATAAATTGTAGTGCACGTAAATGATATTTCAATAATAATTCTGAACTTGCTTATAACACATTGTATAAAGATATGCTAATCTGCATGAACACAATGTACATGTATTCTATTAAAGTTAAAAAGATCCTATTAAAGCTCGATGTTTCGTATTGTTCTTGATAAAAATTCGCTTTCTTTAGAGATAATTTAAGTAGTTTGCTTCGTAACCCGCATTTTTCGCTATTAATTTCCTTAAACGTGCTGATAAATGATTTTAGAAACAACTAATCTATATTTGTCATTATATTTAAATTGTTCATTGTTTATACAATAATGCTATTTATCCATAGTTTACTTGAATAGTTGAATTACGGAAACATAATGAAGAGAAATTATATTAACAGCCTAATTTATACAATGTCGCATGCAAAAGTTTTAGAGAAATTACGTGATTAGAAACATTGCATTTTTTTTAATTGCGCCACATTTATTAAAATTATAATATACGGCGCGGGGTACCAAATTATATATTGAAACAGGAAATAAGAAAAAAAATTAATAATTATTCTCAAAATTTTGATTCAAGCACGCAATCTCGCAGAAGAATCACATACATTCACATATAAATATATTATTTTTCTATGTGAACGTTGAATATAAATACAGCAGCTTTCGATCCTTCCCTTTGCTTTTCATAAAACAAAAAACAACTTTTCATTTTCTTTATAAACATGACAAATTTCCCAATCGACCATTTTAGACGCCGTAGTCGATCCCGAGATAGATGGACTATCGCTGTTAACGCTACTGACCGTTGGATTGGAAACTCCATCGCTTGTGGTCTCTTGAGATGGGAAGATGAAAATCGTCTCCTGCAAAGAAGACGCGGCAGAAGAGACGGAAGAGAAGAAGATTGGGAAGTTCGTGCTCTCACCAGCAATCCTGAATCACATCATGTGCGTGAATTGAAACGTGAAGGCGCAAGAGTTTGCGAGACAAATTACAAAGATCGGTCATCACTTCGAGATGCTCTTCGCGGTGTAGACTGGTTAGTCCATGTTGTAGAAAGCAGACGTGAGCGTGTTAGAGATGCCGAAGAATTGGCTGTGGTAATTAATTATTTAACATCCAATTTTTCGTACTTTACCATTATGCATTTAAATAAAATACACTTTTTTTTGTAATAATCAGGCTGCCAGAGAACAAGGCGTCCGAGGGGTTATTGTTTTGTCTCTCCGAGGAGCCGATGAAAAATTAACCCGAACCCATCGTGAATATCATGAAATTGAAAAATTGTGGCAAAAAGAAGTCCGAAATGCTGTTGTACTAAGGTAAAATAACGACGATTTTTTTTTTGCTTATAATAATTCGAGTTGTTATACAACTTTATTATATGCTTTCTTCTTAAAAATAGGGTCGAGTTTATAACCCAAGGCTTCTTTTTATGGAGTGACAATATCCAAGAAGAAAGTGCACTTAACATGACTCTTGACGAAGAACGCGATCGATTTGTACCGATTGATTTAGATGATATTGTTCGAGCTATCGAAGATATCGCTTGGGACCGTGAAGGCTACGAATTAGACGAACTTGAATCAAAACACCGTCATCAAGTTTATAACCTTACCGGCAGAGATTCCGTTTCCCCCGGTGACATTATCGACATTATCAATGACAATATCCGTGGTGAAATTTACTATGAACGAGTCAATCGTAATGAACTCCGTGATTATATAAGAAGTCTAGATGGGGAAGGTGATGATCGTTATCGCCGTCGCGAATTTGTTGACATCGAAAAACGCCGCCGTGGTGAAAAACGTGGCCGCGAATATGATCTACGTTCATTCCTGCCATTTAACGAAATCGAAACAGAAAAAGTGTATGTGTAATTTTTATTATTTTGAAAAATTTAAATACACTCTTTAGTTATGTTGAATATCTTATATATCTGTACATGATGTTATAGCCTAGATATCTTGCTCTACATTAAAGAAGGTCGTGAACCTGACCGAGTCTCTGATGACTTTAGAAGAATTACTGGAGAAGAACCAAGATCGATTGATGAATTTTTCAGAGTAAGTATTTCAAAAAATAATTTGTTTGATTTGATTCTTTTCTAAGTATTAATGTAAATTTTACTTTGAACTCATCTAAAAAAAAAAAAAGGAAAATGCCGATGAATTCACTCCAGGCGGCCGCGGAGCTCATCGCCGACGTGGTCGTCGTGGTGAAAGTCGTGAACGTCGTCGCGAAAGTCGTGAACGCCGTCGCGAAAGTCGCGAACGTCGAGGACGACGCGGCCGTCGTTACGACCTCGTAAACAAAGCGCATAATCGGTTCCAACAGAGCAGATTCTTTGCTCATCTATGAAAAAGTCATTGCTGCTTAAATTTCAGCTAAAAAATTAGATATTTCTTTTTCCAAAACTTTATTTCCCTAAAATGATGTTCAAAAAAATTTAGTATCGATAACTAAAAATAGGTCTTTTAAAAAATAAATATGGTCTCGAGTATTTTCTTGTCATTGTGTAAATGAAATATCTGCGTAACGATAAAATTTAAAAGATTTAAGAATTGACTTTGGGGAATTTAATCGATTTTGTTCGAACCAAGACGGTCAGAAACCGTTAGTCCGGTAAATCGATGGATTCGCTAACAGATATACAATAACTGGTTCTTTGCAACGTAGCGTGTGAGATCATCAAACTTGCCTTCACATTTGGCAAATCCCGGGTGTTTTTTTCCATACCGTCGATTTTGAATTTCTAGGCATTCAACGATATCCTTATGTCAAGCGAAACGAACCCTGATCCGACCCAGAAAATTTTATTTTGAGGTTTGGGTTTAGATTATAAATAAAATTGCTTTCCCGACATTTTTTGTTAGTAGATTTTCAGCTGGTCTCGGATTTATTTGTGCATTCTTATTGGTTAAAACAGATCGACAGGGTCGGAAATGCCCGTTTCTCCCGTTTTTCGGTTACATCAGCAAATATCGAGGGAGAGTCACGTGATCGTACGAATTTCGGTTAACATTACGATTAGAGCCAGGGTTATGGATTATACAACGCACAAAACGCAGTCATTTATAACAAAGAACATTTTTTGTTCGAGATACGAGCTATTTTACGTTTACATTTGTTTTGAATTTTTTCGTTACATATGGATTGGGATAAGTGTACCCGCAATGTTTTAATCAGTTCTCGATCTGTGCTTGGTTCCGAACATAAAAAATGTCGATAGACAATTTTGCATAGAAATTTATAACACGATCTGATTCTAACTATTTAATGATACACACATGCAATTTATGAAAATGTATTTTTATTCTCAGGACTATTCCAGATGCAAGTATCTTGAATTCTGCCTGTTTTTCCGTTTAAAAAAAGCATGTGTATGCTACTTTATTCTGATTGGGTGAAAGATTTTGGTTCTCATCATTGAGAAAGTTTCCCGAATTCAGAAATTTTCTCTCACGGCATAGAACAATGCTTTGTTTTGCTGCAGTTTTGCCACGATGGGTGAAATAAATCGATAAGATTTTGCGTTATCTAACAAATATAAACAATAGAACAATGATATTAGCGGAATTAATATGGGAATAATGCTTGCGAAATTACTTTAATACTACATTTGTTTGTTTTTCTGAAAATCTTATACTATCTAGTTACCCGCGCAAAAATTTATATATCTCAGTTACCCGCGCAAAGAATTTTACAATACAGTGATGTAGTAAAAACTCTGTTACCCCACAAAAGATCTCAGTTACCCCGCCAAGATGTTCGTATGCGTGATAGTGATATTGTGATTATAGTAAATACTCTGATTATTTTCTCTAAAATCTATAACGATAAGGAATCCTTAAAGAATTGTAAGTTTAACTAGCAGAATAATATTGAAATCAATCGCTAGAAGTCAACGTATACAGCAGCAAACTAATTTTTTTTGCATGAGATAAATTCATAGTCGCACGCCATTTTCACACGAAAAATTCACACAAAATTAGCGTTTAGATGTTTGTATATTTGTGTCTTTCGCATTTCAAAAGTTTCCCACAGAATTAAGAGTGAACAATAAATAATATACTACATGAGACATTAATGAGATATTAATAGCTTTGATAAAAAATCATTCTTTTATTTAAAACTTAATTGGAAGAAAAGATTATAAATACGCTGTTTGGTTTTCTCTTTCCTACCCAACTTCTCTCTTCTCTTCTTTCAATAAAAAAAGGTAGTCAATTATTTTTCTTTAACAACCATTATTAATATTACTTTCGATTTATTTTCTAAAAAAAAATGAGTTTTTTCAACTTACGCCGTGGACGTGATGAACGTGGTGAACGATTCACTGTTGCAGTAAACGCGACTGAAAGTTATTGCGGTAATAGGACAGCTTTTGGTCTCTTAAAAGCAGCAAGAAGACATGATGATGATGATGATGATCGAAGGCGTGGTAAACATCATGAATGCCGTATCGTTGCGCTTACTCGAGATCGCAACTCCAAACACGTTCGCGAATTGGAAAAAGAGGGAGCGGAAGTTCGTGAAGTTAATTATGGGGATAGAAATTCACTCGAACATGCTCTTCGTGATGTTGACTGGCTGGTTCATCTTCCTGAAAGTAGTCGTAACGCTGTCCGAGATGCCGAAGAATTGTCACGAGTAAATAAATTTTTCACTTTTCACAGTTTTTCTTATCAATTTTAACTGGATTTTTAAATTTAATAAAAGGCTGCGAGAGAAAAAGATGTTAGGGGAGCAATTGCCCTCTCACTCTTGGGTGCTGACGAAGAACGAACCAAAACTCATCGCGATTACCATAAAATCGAAAAAATTATCCAAGATGAAGTTCAAAATTCCTCTGTTCTTAGGTAATACACGTTAATGATTCTAACATAGCTACATAGCTATTGTCTTACCTGTTTTATATCCCTTTTATAAAGGGTCTCATGGATGTCGGAAGCCTTCTTGCTGTGGAGCGAAAATATCAGAGAGAAATGTGAACTCGATTTAAATCTCGACGAAAAAAACGATACCATTGTCCCAGTCGACTTTGAAGATTTCATTTGTGCAATTTGCGCTCTTATTCGCCGCGAATTTGATGATCGAATTCATCATCATAACGTTTACTCAATTACTGGTCGTGACGCGCTCAATCCTCGCGATATTGTCGACATCATCAACGAGACTACCAATGACCGGGATAAGAGACGTGTAAGATACCGGCAAGTTAAACGCAATGACATTCGAGAGTACTTGAGAAATCTTGATGAGGATGAGGATCGTGGTCGTGAGCGTCATCGTAATGAATATGATCCCCGCTGCTTCCTGCCTCTCAATGACCGCGAGATTGAAAAAATGTAAGTGTCATTTTGTTTATGTAATATCGTTATTGTGAAATTAATATTGTTCAATTTATAGCCTCGATATTCTCGAGTATGCTAAAGAAAGCGATAATGCTGGAAGAGTTACCGATGACTTTAGAAGACTTACCGGAGATGAACCTAGATCTGTTGAAGACTTCTTTAAGGTATGTGCCATAATCGTATTACATGTATTTTGTATACACAATTCTAATTGAAATATACTTTTTCATTACACAGAACAACCGTAGAGATTTTGAACCACGTGGCGATCGTCGTCGCAGCTATGCTCGCTTGTAAAAAATTAAATAATATTTTTTCTATATAGCCTAGTTTCTTTTAAAAATTATTAAAACCTAAAATGTAATTTTCTGTAAATTTTTCTAAAATAAAATCAATGAAACTATTCAAGTAAAAAAATAATAAACATCGACATGAATTTTTTTAATGTTGATATGATTATGAGAGCAAAGGTGATTAGGAAATTCTGATACAACTGAACTTTTCGTAAAAGTAATATTTTGAAAGCATTAGGTGTACAAAAACGAGTTTATAAATGCTCATTTTCTTGATTGATTCAAATGGATATGTCGTTATCGTTAAACCAGAGATATTATAAATTGGATTTGTAATAAATCCAATTTGATTATAGAACAGAAATTATTCTTAGTTACAAAAATTCTTCATCCATGTTGATGCTTTTCCTGATCTACGAGTTGTCATTTAACATGCAACTGTGTGTATTCAAATCAATTTTTAAAGAGACTATACATGAACATACATAATTCGTAAAAAGCAAATGTACTTTAGCATTTTGGAAAAAAACTATATAATTTTTTAATTTGTGTCATATGGTATGGTTTTTCGACCATGAATTTTCCGAAAAAAAAAAGGGCAGATCATGTACTTTTTTAAGACAACTATAACCAAATACGGTTTTCTATATTGATACAGAATTTCCACGCTACTGCGAGAAATACAGTGTGGGACAAAATTACAGCAGAATGTCAGTTTTCAGTAATTAATTCTACAAGACTATGAAAATCTTTTGTCATTCTTCTCCACGGTCATTTAGATTTTTTGGTATTCTCTGTCTACATTACTTGCCCATAGATTTTTGATTAAATTTAGATCCGGGCTATTCGATGGCCACTCCAAAACTTCTTGAATAAAGGTTTTTTTTGCAAAAACGACTTGTGATTTGTGTCATTGTCCTGCTGAACGTCGTTTATGAAGCATCTGGTTGATTTCAAGTGCATGCGAAAGACATGAAACTCAGCATTCATTATTTGTTTAAAATAAAACAGATTTGTTTTCCTTTTATGCAAAAACCAACACATATCATTATTTTGGTTCTGTCTTTAGGCGTACCGGTCTTTTTACCCTTATATCGTCGTTTTACAGTGTTTTTGAAGAATTGAAATACTGTTTGTCAGTAAATATTGTTTTATTCCAATGTACTTTCGGATAAACTTTATACTTTTTCATTTATGATTTTCAGTTAGCATGGATGTTGCTTTTAAATAATTTTTTCTTAGGTCTTTGTAGAAATAGATTAAAATTAGACAAGTGCCCAGAATGAATCTCCGTTAATTTTTTTAGGATGACATGCTCCGCATGCTTCAATATATTAGTCTATGTAATTCTTTAGCATTATTCCATAAATATAATAGTTTCGTGCGATGGTTTTTATTTGAAAATGGGAATTTTCAAAAAAAGTGCCGATAGCCAAAGATGTAAGGCTTTCCTGCAAATATATAACGATATGTATTAAATCTTGCTATAGTGATGTGATAATATATATACAGTGAAAAAATAATGCATATGATTGAATGATACAATCCAATAGTTTAAAATGATACCAATACAAAATAATTTTATTTTTTGTAACCACCAAATATATATTAAATTTTTGGTGTTGTATTATATTTGTTCTTTTTGAACAAAATAAAAAAAATCAGTAAATAACTGCCAAAATTCTAACTTTTACATTTTTTTTTAAAACTATTTTCAATTTAGATTACCATCTTGTATAGCCATCACGGATCTTTATTACATCAGCAATTCTTTTTAGCAATCCTTTTCAGCATGAATTTAATAAGACAGATGCATATCTCAACATCAATATCATTCCACACATACTGGATTTTCTCTCACAAATTCTCTCTCTTCAAAATCAATCCTGGAAGACAGTATAAATGATAATCAACAATATTCCATAGGTGTTCAATAAGATTGAGATCCAGAGATTGTGGGAATATCAACTTCATTATTGACAAATCATTAATGAATTTTAATAATGATATACTTGAAGTTATTATCCTATTAAAAATTGATATCATTTAGCATATAATTAAAATTATTAATGATTTCTAAAAGATCTTTTAAAAGAATTTCTCTATATAATACACTATTCATTCTATTGTGAATCTTATGAAGATTATCAATATTATAAGCAGTAAAGCAATTTCATATTATTATTTTCTCATTATCAAATTTAATAATAGGTTAATATGTGAGCTTTTTAATAGTTCTCTTTTTCTTTTCTAATAATATAGTCAGATCTTTCTATAGTTATATCTTTTTACAGTTATCTTTTTTTATAGTTATTTTTTTTGAGTTTTCCAGTTACTAATTAACTATAATTAAAAAATCTCTCTATAATTATATCTCTCTTTGGTCATCTAATTTTGCTTTTTCAAGTATGATAATTGTAGTAAGATCTGATTATATTCACATTTATTTAATCTAAAAATATTAAATCTTAACTTATCTAATCAAATTACTCTTATTTAAACTTTTTAATCTAATTTTTATATTTTTTGTAAAATCAAATCTATATTATTAATATTTTTTTAGATATAACTTTTTATATTTTATTCTTAATATTAATTCCTAATTTATAATTACTAAATATATAATAAATAATAAATAAAGAAATATTTATATTTTAAATTATTCAAGATTATAACAAAAATTTAATTTAATTAGTTTATAAATTATTGAGTTATAATTATTATATTATATATTATATTATATATCAAGAATTATATTATATTAATTTTTGAATAATTTTAGTATAAATAAAAATTTATTAGTAATTTAATTATATAAATATTTAAATAATGTATTAATATATTTAAATTAATTTAAAAATCAATCTTAATTATATTATCTTTTAAATAACTAAGTATTTATGTAAAATAATAAATTATTAATTAGTTTTCTTAGAAAAAATTCTTTTTATTTTAATTTATTATATTTAATTAATTTTTCTATTTTTATTATTATTATTTATATTATTTATTTTTTTATTTAATTAATAATGAATAATTTAAAATATAGTTATAATTATATTCTTTATTATTATTTTTTTTTAAGTTTTTTAGTTAATAATTAATTATAATTAAAAAATCTCTTTATAATTATATCTTTTTTTTAGTTATTTAATTTTATTTTTTTCAAATATAATAATTATAAAAAAATCTAATTATATTATAAATATTTTTTTAAATATTTATATATAATTAAATTTCTTTATAATTATACTTTTTTATAGTTATTTTTTTATAATTATCTTTTTTAAGCTTTTTAGTTATTAATTAACTATAATTAAAAAATCTTTTTATAGTTGTATCTCTTTTTAGTTATCTAAATTTTGCTTTTTCAAGTATAATAATTATAGAGAAATCTAATTATATTAATAATTTTATATAATATTATTTATTTTATAATAAGTTAATAATTTATTTAATATTAATAAAATTAAATTAAATTTATTTGTTCTTGACATGACTTTTTATATAAATATCTTATTAAAATATACTATATAATAAGAAAATTATAATTATTTTAATTTATTAATATTAAATAATATTAATTTTACAAAAAAAATTTATATATAATTAATATAAAATATTGTATTATATATAATCAAATTTCTTTATAATTATTATACTTGAAAAACAAAATTAAATTATTATAGAAAGATGTAATTATAAAAAGATTTTTCTATTATAATTAATTAATAACTAAAAAACTTAAAAAATATAACTATGAAAAAAATAATTATAAAGAAATATAACTATAAAGAGATTTAATTATATATAAAAATTTATTATATATTATAATTATAAATATATTAAAAATTTTATAAGATAAATATTAAAAATATAAAAAAAGTTTTTTATTTAAAATTAGAAAAAAAATTTTATAAGTTATATATTAAAATCAGAATTGACTTTTAGATAATTTTGAATAATTTAAATAAAAATTTATTAGTAATTTAATTATATAAATATTTAAATAATATATTTGAATTGATTTAAAAACTAATATTAATTAAAATATATAAGAAAATCAAGAAATTTTTATTAAAAATTTATTAAAAATTAAAAATATATATAATAAATAAATTATTTATAAAATATTATAAATATATTATAAATTTTATAAAATATATATTAAAAATATATAAAAAATATAAATTATATATTAAAAAAAATATATAATATAAATATAATATAATATATATAGTAACAAACAAAAATAATGCAACACTTAAATTTTTTACTAATTATAATTAGTAAAATACATATTTTTCCTTATATATAAAAGTTTTTAATTTTACTA